TAGCTGCGCTGGATGGAAGGACACGGGGTTTGGTGTGAGGATGAATGTGGTTGGTGATGGGGAGACCATGGCAGAGAGTTTTCAAAAATTTTATAGGGTCACTAAATCCCACTGCGCTTTGATTGTGGGAGGTCCAACTCTTTCATACAGGGACACAAGATCATGGTGTTTGTATTGCACACAGTCACCCTGTTTACTTTTAGTGGAAAGATGGGATGAGAAAGTCAGCAGGGAGAATTTACACGGCCTGAATTAAGACATCAACATTTAAATCAGTTCAGCACCTGTGTGCAGACACGTTTCCACAGAGCGATCACTCTTCACTGGTTTCTATTTCTGTCTTCATTACTTCTCACCTTGTGCAAGTGAAAACGGAGGCTGTCCCTTTACTGCAATTTAGCGGAAAGGTGGGTCTCCTGCTTTTCTAGATGAGTTAGCGTCACAGAGGGGTGAAACTCTATGTAGGCTCCGCTTCCCCTTTTTGTATGGTCCCTGCTTTGCTCTGTGTCACTATGTCTCTGGCGCAGTAATAGGTGCCGGTGTCTGCAGCTGTCAGCGAGCGGAGCTGCAGGGAGAACTGGTTCTTGGAGGAGTCAGTGGAGTTGGTGATTCGGCTCTGGAAGGATGAGGCGTAGTTTGTATTCCAGGTGGAACTGCTGTAATATCCCACTCCAAGCCACACCAGCCCTTTTCCGGGAGGCTGCCGAATCCAGTGCCAACCGTAACCACTGGTGATGGAGTAACCCGAGACAGCGCAGGTCAGGGTGAGGGTCTCGCCAGGCTTCACCGCTCCCGGGCCGGACTGGACCAGCTGCACCTGGGAGAGGACACCTGGGGAAAGGAGAACAGAGCTGACTCTCACCTGGAACCAGCGCATTCCCCACCTTGGTGTTTCTCAGCGTCCCATGAAACACTCACCCGATGGGGCGGCGGACAGGAGAAGGGAGAAGGGCAGTGACCATGTCCTGGTGGTTGTTAATGGAGAAACTCCCCAGCGGGCAGGACCAGGCAGTTCTGTGTCTGGGAGAGACTGAGGCTCCTAGAACCAGGAGTTGGTATTTAAACAGGAACCCCCTGGGGCAGGGATTTGCATACGGGTTCCCCAGGGTTGGTATAAGAGATGTCAGGGGAGGAGGTTATGAAGGTTAGGACTATAAATAACAGGGTTTAAAAGAGAACTAGATAAATTCATGGGGGTTAAGTCCATTAATGGCTATTAGCCAGGATGGGTAAGGAATGGTGTCCCTAGCCTCTGTTTGTCAGAGGGTGGAGATGGATGGCAGGAGAGAGATCACTTGATCATTACCTGTTAGGTTCATTCCTGCTGGGACACCTGGCATTGGCCACTATCGGTAGACAGGATACTGGGCTCGATGGACCTTTGGTCTGACCCAGTACGGCCGTTCTTATGTTCTTATGTTATATTCGTAGGCTAGTTCCAATCAAGGGAGCACATGCAGGTGCTAGTGAGAGATATTCATGCCCTCTAAGTGGATTTGAACCTCCTTCAGAGAAGTCTGAAGTTGAAGAACCAAATGTTCTCGTTGATCCAATTTCAACACATGGGGTCCTGAAATTGGAACTCTTAAACATCGGAGGGGAGCAAGGTTTGTGATCAGAGGCTTGAAATTTAAAATGTTTTTTTTGTTGTTGGCCCAATTCCAGTCTGTACAAACTGGCCTTATGAAATCCCTCCAAAACGGCAATATGCCCATAGAATTTAATCCAAAGTGCTGACATGAGCTTGTCACAATGTGTGCACTTTAATGGAACTACTGGGACCTTGCTGAATCAAGTCATGTCCAGCTAAAGTCCTGTTCAGCAGTTCCCAGTTTACGAGGAATCGTGTGCTATTCTTGCCTGCTGGCATGATCAGAGACAGCTGCAGTTCCTCTCTGGGTAACGGAGGTGTCTGAGTTCCAATGACAATGATGACACGTAGGGGCATGGTTGTTCCCCAATCAGCGGAGGAAACCAGGGCCACCCTGCACCTTCCGCCACCCGGGAGGCTGTCCCTGGGTGTGTTTGAGGGTGTACATACTCTCCAGTGGCACTCTGCATGCAGTTGGCAGTGCTTTCCCAGGGGGAACCTGAGGAGTTGCCAACAGCATAGAGCGACACTGCAGGGCCAGGGAGTTGCTCCCATTCCCATAGAATCCATGCATGTGGCACAGCAAATTTGCTTCCTGGGCTCCAGCTGACAAACACCTGCCAGAGGTTCAGAGGGATCACAGGTACAGTACAGAGCCAGGACACCATCAGACTCCAGACACTTATGAACAGCAAGGTGCTGGTGCACCGGTGGGATGTCATGGCTCATGTACGGGACCTGTGAGGGGGCAGAGAAGAGAGAAAAACTTCCCACACTCCCCCCGTATATACTGGGAGAATCTGGGACCAATATTACAGGGTGAACATGAAACAGTGACCTATGTGAGGGTGGCCATAATAAGTCAAGGACTTTTATGGCCTTTTCCTGTCTCAACATTGGGGTAGGCACTGACCAGCCCACTCGATGCGTATTCTCCAACAGCTCAACGCCGTTCCTTCTTGCTGGCCAAGAAGGATGGCTTACAGGATGGAGAAGACAGTCTTGAGGGTCAGGTGGTTTATCCTTCCATTCTTTGAGCTGTGAAGAATGAAACCATTTCTGCCAGGGTTTTCCATTTCTCCCATTTAGGATTTCTATCTGACACACACTGGGGCTGGCCCGATTCACAATAGAGCAGCGGCCATCCCAGGTGTGCGTAAAGAGCTGCTTAGCGGTGACAGAGGCAGTGTTGGTTTTAGTAGGGATGGCTTCCATCCTGGATCTTTCTAAAACAAAGTCAGTGGATTCATACAAAGTTGAGAAACTTTGGCAGCTAGAAACTGAACCAAATTTCTCAGAACCTACACTGTTGCTTGCTACAGCAGGGGTTCTCAAACTGGGGGTTGGGACCCCCTCAGGGGGTCATGAGGTTATTAGGTCATAGGTCATGAGCTGTCAGCCTCCACCCCAAACCACGCTTTGCCTCCAGCATTTGTAATGGTGTTAAATATATAGAAAAGCGTTTTTAATTTATAAGGGGGGGTCGCACTCAGAGGCTTGCTGTGTGAAAGGGGTCACCAGTACAAAAGTTTGAGAATCGCTGTGCTGCAGGCAATGATTCATTCTGAGCTAACTCAATCAACCCACTTCCACACCCTTCAGTTGCAGCAAACTGCTTGCACAAGCTACCATGAGGTTTTATTCCTTCAGGAGCACTTTTAGGCAACAATTCATTTCCCCCAGAAATTTTGTCCTTTCTCTTTTCAGCTAGGGGTTGCTCTACAGACACATCTTTCTGAGCATCTTTCTGGGTTTCAGTTGAGTCCAGAATGACTTCTGAGACAACTGACATATCCATATTTGCTAGCAATTGGGCTAACATCCCTGGGTTCCCCACTGTAGCCCTCACAGTGGGTCTCCTCCATACATCGCACTGATGTCTTGCGATCAGCTGGGGAGGCCCGTGGGGAACGGGCACCCCTACTGATCGTCAGACTCCCAGAGCCTCCACTCAGAAGAGGGGGCAGGGATCTGACAGGGAGTGGGCGTGGGGGATGCACTCCATACCAGAGCAGTGGGTTGTGGGGGAGCTCCCTGCATTAACTCTGTTCTCCGCATGACCTGAGACAAAGCATTAATCAGGATGCTGAGGGGCTGGCGATCATATTTTCCCATATCCTCCCCTAAATTCACCAGCTCCTTCCAAATCATGTTCCTAAGGGTCTCCTTGGGTCGGCGCTGCCCAGGGTTGTGGGAGGTAGGGGAATTAAGTTTGGGAGGGTGCATGGCAGAGTGAGGACCATTATTTGTAAATGTGATAGCCTGCACAGGCTCTGAGGTAGTCTTTTTGCTGACTTGTCTTTTTAAGACACGAGTTTCTCTCAGCAAATCTCCTGCCTGTTTGATTTTTGCCACTAGTTCACGCCAGGTTAGATGTTCATAAGTGCGCTGTACTAATTCGTGTCCCTGATACTGGAAAGTGACAATCCCATTCTCTTCTGTCTGGGGTAATGAATCAGAGAGCGCTGCCACCATTTTCTTTCGAATTAGGTAAGCTTCTGGGGCCTCTCCTGGTTTCTGCTCTTCCATTCTATACAGTTTCTTAAGGGAAGATGCAGGCAGTAATATTTTAAGAGCACTTATCATCCATTCCCGGAGTCCAGGGGCAGTCCGCTCCCAAGAACCTATGCCTATGTCTAGAGCATCTGCATCACAAGGAGAGGCGCATAACTGAGCCAATTGGGTTAAGTCCATGCCATCAGCAGAGGGGTACATTTGCCAAACACGGGCCAACCATGCAACGGCTGTGTCACGGTTCAGTGGCCCCAGTCTCTCAGCAATAGCCTTGGCTTGACTAGGAGACCACCTTACTACATCCGTGACCAGCTCTGTTGTGGGAAGATCAGCTCCTGCAACTATGTGCTTAACCTCCCTTGTGGAAACAGGGGCAACATTATACATGTGTGGCCAATCGGGGTTAAATGGGTTTGGGGGGACAGCATCAGGGGGTATCTTTGTTTTCCCAGGGGGCTCTAAATCACAATCTTCTCTCAACCTTACAGCTGCTACCACCCTCTTATGGGCACTAAGTTGGGCACGCAATTTACTAATTTTTGCCTCACGCTCCTGATGGTCTGCTGCTGCCTTTGCTGCCCTGTTCTCTTCTGCCAAGAAGCGAGTTGCTGCTCTTGCTTCTTCTAACAGAACTTTTGTGTGTGTTAACCCTTTCCTCTACTGTTCTGCATTCCTGCTGGCCTTGTCTCTCTCCTCTTGGATATCTCGGAGTACAGTCACCAGTCTGAGCTTTTCTGCTATCAGTTCACACCCGTCTGTCTCACACTTGTTCAAACGCTGTTGTAACTGCTTTTTCTCAAGCTCCAGTTCCTATCTTCCCTTTACCATTTCAACCATGTCCAGACATGCATAAAATAATGCCCATGCAGCAGCTGCATCCTTTGCACTACCACGTGGCTTAAAGGTTGTGCCATATTGTTCAAAGCTCAGACTAGCTTCAGTCAGGGGATTCTCACCCTTAAAGAATCCCCTTTCCCAGGGGCATTTCCCCTGCTTCATTACCCATCTCTCTAACCTGTTGGCATTCTCCTGTCTCAAGTGAGCAGCAGAAAGGTCTTTTTCAGCCATCTCTACTTCCTTATTGCAGTTCTACAGGTATTCTCAGCACAATTCCTTAACAGAAGGTTACCAAATAGTCTATGAGAGAGATTCCTTGCTAAAGGAGCATGGTCTGGAAAAGGAAAAAAAAAAAGAAAGCTTACTCAGGTCTGTGCCTCAGTTTCCCCACTCCACAGCAACTACTCAACAATTACCATGTGATTAGGGTCACGTGCTGCCCACGTATCTCCACCAATTTGTTACCAGATTTGCCCATTACTTTGGGGTATGTTCATTTATTCGGGTTACTCTTTGAGGGGGGGGGGGGTTCTGTAATTCTATCAATGTACTGCTTGTGTCATGTGTGTTTTCATATGGAGCTCTACTTCTCCCTTCTGCAAGTCCCCTCCCAATGGAGCTATCCTGCAGGACCTAGGTTCCCCAGGGCTGGGTTCTTCCAGCCCCACACACACACACACACACTAACAGAGCAAGTCTGAGTGGACCGGGTCAATCAGCACTTTCAAGCTGACCCTTTATATGTCCCTGGGCTCCATGGACTGGGTCAAGCAGCACTTTCAAGCTGCCACCCTTATGTGTTCCAGATTCAGCACGTCCCTATCCCCAATCTCACAACACAATTGTACTGGCAGTAACCTACCTGATGAGCAAACCCCACAGTATTTTGGGTGCTGCAGGGATCTTTTGCTTAGGTAAAAGAAGCGTTGCTGTAGAGTGAATGGGGGAAACTAAAAACACAAAAGAGTGAAGTTCAGCAAGAGAGAGAGAAGCAACCAGCTAAACCATAAAAGTTATTTATTGAATAAAGTGATAACTACACAAGGAGAGCTAAACCAACAGAACAGACATTATCAAAGGTTAATACCTAAGGTAGCAGGGAAAACAGAGAGAGAGAAAGAAGAGATTCTCACCGCCCCCTGAAGCTTGAACTGGTCGGGGTTCCCAGGTGATGGTGGTAGCTCAGGGTCCTGAGGGCAGGAGACAGGCAGAGCCCCCAGCACCATCAGTCAGGAGATGGAGTCCCCGTGGAACTGATGCAGAACTTAGATCGAAGCTTGGATCAGAACACTTATTTGAACATAGGTAGGGGTTTTTTGTAGATAAACAACAATGGAGATGTCTTAATCTTGTCACCCTTGTCAGGCGGGGTCTAGGTGTGTCTCCCAATACCCTTCACTGCTCTCTGCAAGCCTTTTCTCTGATCCATCTTGGTTCAAGCAGAGACGGAGGGTGTCCCTCAAGATTCAGACAGGCCAGAGACTGCGCCCTGGTTCCCACAAAACACAGAGCTGACTGGTATCAACAGGTGTCCCCTTAACATCCCAGAGAGATGGTGCACTCAGCTCAGTGCACCTAGAATGGGAGGTGGTGGCTATGAGAGGCTGGTTTGGAGTGTCTAGAGGAGAGGGACTCAGGAGAATCTGCTGGGACAGGCAGTAGCATGCGGGTTTCACCCAGTGGGGAAAAAATACCAGGGAGACCTCTGTCCAGTGTCCTTCATGTCACAGGGTGTGATCCAAAGCCTGCTGAAGTCACTGGGTGTCTCTCCAGTGGAGCAGGGGCTAGTGTGAAATGGGCTGGGCGATTAAAAGCAGTACATGCAATGTACGGGCAGGGTCAGTAGAAGTGAGGGTTTGGCTACACTTGCAGCTGTACAGCGCTGTGAGTTAAACCTGCGTTCGTACAGCTGAGTAGGGAAAGCGCTGCAGTCTGTCCACACTGACAGCTGCCAGCGCACTGGCGTGGCCACATTTGCAGCGTTTGCAGATGCATTGGGAGCAGGA